TAGGAATAATTTATATAGTCAAAATGGCCATGCTGCCCAACGCAATATCCAGATTCAATGCAATCCCTATCAAATCACCAACAACATTCTTCAATGAACTGGAACAAACAAATAGTTCAAAAATTCATATGGTACCATCAAGGACCCCAAATAGCCAAAGCAGTCATGAGAAGGAAGAATAAAGTGGGTGGGGGGATCTCCCTCCCCAACTTCAAGCTCTACTACAAAGCCACAGTAATCAAAGACAATTTGGTACTGGCACAAGAACAGAGTCATAGACCAGTGGAACAGAATAGAGACTGCAGACATTATTCTGCAAACATATATGGCCAGTTAATATACGATTGAGGAGCCATGCATATACAATGGGGAAATGTCAGTCTCTTCAACAGATCTTGCTGGCAAAACTGAACAGCTTCATGTGAGAGAATGAAACTGGATCACTGTCTAACCCCATACACAAAAGTAAATTTGAAATGGATCAAATACCTGAATGTAAGTCATGAAACCATAAAACTCTTAGAGAAAAACATAGGCAAAAATCTCATGGACATAAATATGAGTGACTTCTTCATGAACAGATCTCCCCGGGCAAGGAAAACAAAGACAAAAATGAACAAGTGGGACTATATCAAGCTAAAAAGCTGTACAGCAAAGGACGCCATCAATAGAATGAAAGGTATCCTACAGTATGGGAGAACATATTCATAAATGACAGATCCGATAAAGGATTGACATCCAAAATTATATAAAGAGCTCACACGCCTCAACAAACAAAGCAAATAATCCAATTAAAAAATTGGCAGAGGAGCTGAATAAATAGTTCTCTAAAGAAGAAATCCAGATGGCCAACAGGAACATGAAAAGATTCTCCACATCGCTAATCATCAGAGAAATGCAAATTAAAACCACAATGAATTATCACCTCACACCGTTAAGGATCGCCATCATTGAAGAGACAAACAACATTAAATGTTAGCAAGGTTGTGGAGAAAGGGGAACCCTCCTACACTGCTGATGGGAGTGTAAATTCGTTCAACCATTGTGGAAAGCAGTATGGAGGTTCCTCAAAAAACTCAAAATAGAAATACCATTTGACCCAGGAATGCCATTTCTAGGAATTTACCCTAAGAATGCAGCACTCCAGTTTGAAAAACAGATGTTTATCGCTGCATTATTTACAATAGCCAAGATATGGAAGCTACCTAATTGTCCATCAGTAGATGAATGGATAAAGAAGAGGTGGTACATATACACAATGGAATATTACTCAGCCATAAGAAAAATCAGATTCTACCATTCGCAACAACATGGGTGGAGGTAGAGTGTATTATGTTCAGTGAAATAAGCCAGGCAGAGAAAGACAAGTACCAAATGACTTCACTCATATGTGGAGTGTAAGAACAAAGAAAAACTGAAGGAACAAAACAGCAGCAGTATCCCAGAACTCAAGAATGGACTAATAGTTACCATAGGGAAAGGGACTGGGGTGGGTGGAAGGACAGAGAGGTATAAGGGTGGGGGAAAAGTGTGCATTATGATTAGCATGTATAGTGCATGGGTGGTACGGGGAGGGCTGTGCAACACAGAGAAGACGAGTAGTGATTTTACAGCATCTTACTATGCAGATGGACAGTGACTGTGAAGGGTATGTGGGGGGGACTTGTTGACGAGGGGAGCCTAGTAAACATAATGTTCTTCATGTAATTGTAGATTAATGATACCAAAAGAAAAAGAAAAGAAATAAAGACATTACATAATGACAAGGGGATCCGTCCAGCAAGAAGATATAGCAATTATAAATATCTATGTACCTAACATTGTAGCACCTAAATATGAAAAGCAAATACTAACAAACCTAAAGAGAAATGTTGACAGCAGCACAATAATAGAGGACTTCAACACTACTCACCCCTCATTTGCAGGAAATGATTGATTTTTCAGAAAATCAATAAGGAAACTTGGTTTGGCTATTTGAACATTAGACTAGATGGACTTAACAAATATATACAGAAGTAAATAATTAAAATAATGCTTTATAATGAAGAGAATGACGGGCCTATAGCACACACCAACATATGCAGTTTGGGAGTCCTAGATGAGAGGAATTTGAGAAACAGAAAATAAGTATATTTGAAATAATGAATGAAATCTTCCAAAATATGAAGAAAGATATCTACCTGCATATCCAGATGCTTAATGAAGTTCAAATCAGATACTGGAAGATAATAACCCTTAGGCATATAAAGCAAATTAAAATCTGGACACAAACATAAAATCTTGAAAGCAATAAGAGGTGTCACTTGTCATGCCTATGGGATCTTACATTAAATTAGCAGCTGATTTTTTAACGTACTATACAGGCAGATGGTAGATGAAAATAATGATTTATAAAAATGTCAACTGTCCCATTTCTGGTTATGCTGTCCTTCAAGAATGATGGACAAATTAAGACTTTTCCAGATAAAACAGAATTTGTCACTACAAACCTGTGTTGCAAGCAAAATTAAATAACTCTTTCAAACTTTAATGAAAGAAAACTAGATATTACTCAAAGCCATATGAAGAAGTAAAGAATACTCTTAAAAATAACTTCATAGTTAAATATAAAAGCTAATACTTTAGTGTTTTGTGTATAGTTAATTATATGTGATTTGAAATATATGATGAAATAATTATTCAATTCCACTTAACATATTGTTGTAATTTGTGATAACACTGAGGAACAGAGTTGTGTAACTGTTTTTGTATAGTACTGAAGCTAAAATGGTATTCAAACTTGATTATTTAAAATTTAAGTAGTTAATTGCAGTCCCGTTGTTAACCAGTATGAAAAAATACATAAATTTTGCAGAGTTTTAAGCAACCCAGGTAAGTATCTAGAAATACCACCAGAGCCAATGTACAAAGACTGGGAGAGGTTTTATTCTTTTTTATTCTCCTCTTCAAGGTAATACTGGTTTTAAACACCAGCTGAAAAATAAGCTTAAATGACCACACAGAATAAGGAATAGTATTTTGCAGTAATAGTTTAGAAATGGCATTAAGCAGACAATTGTAGTCTAAAATTATTAAGGATAACAAGCTCTGGAAATGGACTCCAATCTGATTTCCAGATTTATCAAATTAGGGTTAGTAGTACTATTTTCAACAAAATATCACGGAGCATATAAAGAAAGATAAACATATGGCCCATTCACAGGAAAAATAGTAACCATACTAATCAACTTCCTGACATTGGTGTTACTAGAGAAATACTTGAAATAATTGTATTAAATTTGCTAGGATAAAGAAAAGCATTGAGAAAGACCTAAAAGAAACCAAGGTAATGTTGGTTTATCTACAAACAATGATAATATCAGTAAGAATATAAATTTTAAGAAATTAAATAGAAATTCTGGAGACAAGTAATTACAATAAGACATTCACTACATATGTTCAGGTTTAAGCAGGCATAAAGAGTAAGTGAACTTGATGTTAGGACAATTGATACCAAGTTACAGGAGGAGAAACAAAAACAACAAAGCATAACGTGTCTGTTGCTCTGAAGTGAAACAAAATACATATTTTGGGTGTTCCATAGGAAGAGACATAGATGGAGCAGAGAGTATATTTTAAGATAATGTAGCTTAAAAATCCAGAAATTTTGAGGTTTGAATGAATCTACAAATCCAAGAAGCTTAACAAAGTTCAGGTAGGATAAACCCAGAGTCCCACACTAAAACACAGCTTAATCAAATTTTTGAAAAGATCAACCTCAAATAAAATTTTTGACATACATATGAAATAATATAAACAGCCATTTCTCAGAATCCATGGAGGGCAAGAGATAGTTGGATGATACTGGAAATCCTACCAAATAAATTACCCCAAGAATTCTATATTTGCCAAAACTTGTATAAAAATGAAGGAGAAATTAAGACATTCCTAGATACACAAAAACAGAGGAAGTTTGTTCTTTATAGACTTGCCATGCAAGATATCATGAAGTATTTTAGGTTGTAATGGAATCATAATATATAGTAACTCAAAGCTGAATAAGAATGTAATGATCTGCAGTGACAGAAAAAAACAGGGAAATATAAAAGCCAGTATTCCTGTTTTGGTTTGCTACTTGTTATTTTCTGCATTATATAAAAAGTATGCATGTGAAATAATTGCATAATTGGGCACACATAAAGTTTTACATGGTGACAGAAACAATATAAGGGTGTTTGGTGAGAATTTAAGGGAATTTTCTAACAGTTCAAGATATTTTTATAAATCTACCATGTAATTGTAATTTTCATGACCACAATGAAAATATCTAATATAAATACATTATACACATACCCACACACAAAAGGAAGTGAGAAAGCAATCAAAGTGAACATTGCAAAATCTCTACACAAAATGAGGCCATAATGGAGGAGATGAGGTACCATAACCATGATATACAGAAAACAACACCAAAAAAAGTCCTTGTCAGTAATTTCTCTAAATGTAAATATATTAAACTCTAATCAACAAGCAGAGAGTTGTGAAATGTGTAAAAACCCATGATCTATTCATATGTCATCTTCATGAAACATTGTTTTCTTTTTAAAAATTCAAATACAGTTGGTATGAAATATATTGGTTTCAGGTATATAATATAGTGATTTGGCAGTTGTATACATTACTGAATGCTCACCAGGGTAAGCATGTGTACTAAGGTTACATCTTTCAACATACAAAGATTCTAAAATTTTATTGACTATATTTTCTATGCTGTACTTTCAGCCCTGTGACTATCCTGTAATTGGAAGAATGTATATTCAAGAGACTAAGCCAGGAGACATGCTGTTGAATGTAAAATGATGGAAAAACACATTCTATGCAAATATTCACCAAAAGACAGCTGGGATCACTATGCTACTATTAGGTAAAAGTAGACTGCAATTCATCAGTGGAGAAAAAGGGGAAAGTTATATACTGATAAAAATGTCAGTTGAGGCCCCAGTCACTGAGGCACCTCTAAGGACACAGCAGCCTCCCCCCTGAGCCCCATTACTTCCCAATGCTGTGTCCCCCAACTTGCCTTCTTCCAACACCACCTTCCAAAGGCATTTCCACCAAGGAAAAGGAATCATATAGTTGCTATCCAGAACCTCCACTCTTTTGATTCCTTTGCTGATGCAAGTAAGGATGATCTGTTTCCTACTAGCACTGAGGATATATCTGTATAAGACTTCAACAGAGAAATGGCAGGAAGACCCTTACTACTGTCCAAGGGATCACTGGTGATTACAATAAAAAGAAACTAGTGAAGGCATTTAAGAAGAAATTTACCTGCACTGGTACTGTATTTGAGCATCCAGAATATGGAGAAGTAATCCAACTACAGGGTGGCCAGCACAAGGATAATATGTCTTTCCTGGTTGAGGTTGGACTAGGTAAGGAATACCAGCTGGAAGTTCATGGGTTTTAGGTGCTTTTGGCTCACTGAAGCTTATGGGAAGATTTCTTGCAATTAGCAGAATTTCCCTTCTGTTCCTTGTCACAAGTTTAAAAACAAATTTTATAGCTTGTATAACATAACCATTTGGGGTCTGCTTTTAACTTGGACTAGTGTAACTCCATGCAATAAACTGAAAAGTGCAAGAAAAATGTCAGTTGATCCAAGTTAATTATATACACACCCAATAGCACAGCCCCAAAATATGTGAAGCAAACATTGACAGAAATAAATGAAGGAATATATCAAAATATTTGGACAAGTTGGATGAGGAAATACACATCTTGTATAACAGTCCTGATTCAGGCCTAATGTGAGAACAGCAGAACACATGTTCTTTTCAGGTGCATAGGAAATGTCCAGGATAAAAGGCCTAAAAACAAGTCTAATATACTTTTTAAAAAATTAAAATCCATGTATCTTCTGCAGTGAAATGGAGCTCAAATTAGTAATGGGTTAGCAGGAAAATACATACATGTGTAGGTTAATAAACAATCTGAATCAATGGCCTAACAATTACAAAGGAAATTAGAAAATAGAGGCAAATGAAAATCAAGCATACCAACACTTCTGGGATGCAGGGAAGGCAATGCTTTTGGGTAATTAACAGTAGTGCAACCCAACATTAGAATAACCTATATTAGAAAAGATATATTCAAGTGAGTAAACTAATGTTACATCTTATGGAATGTGGAAAACAAGAAGATACTAAACCCAAAGTTGGTTAAATCATATAGATTAGGTTAAATGAAATATATAATAGAAAATATATAATAGAATATATTTCATTATATATTACTAAAAGATTTCAATAAACTAAAAGATGGTTTATTGAAAATTTGTACAAAAAAAGCTCAGCATGGAGTGATCATAAAAACAGAAGATTCAAGTAACTAAATTAGAAGTGGGAGGGAGATGGGAAAAAATATGGCAGTGTGAAAAGTGAGGCAGAAATATCCAAAAACCACATGTAGTATGAAAATACAGCAAATAGAAGTGTTCCTAAAGAAGTGAACATAAGATTGCACCAGCTAGTCTATGTCTGGGAAAAGAGAACAGAAAATCTACATCATATAAAAGGGTAAGATAACAAAGCCACAACCCAACAGGACCCAAACACTCACCCCACCACAGCTCACCAGCAGGAGGAAGAGAAACAGCAGGAAGGGAGTAGAAAACCAGGACTGCTAAATACCCAGCCCTAGAAATCTCCAGAAGCACAAACCCATATTGCATGGTGCTCTGGAGATCAGAGGGATGGAAAAGCAAAGTCAGAGACAGGTTCCAGTCTCTTGTGGAGAAAAGGTTCCTACAACTGGCACCTCTGGGAAAAAAAAGAAATTTGGGCACTTTGAAAGAATTCCCAACAGTGAGAAGGCTGCAAAAGGGGCAAGGATTACACCAAAACTGCTCAGGAGAAGGAACAAGTGGAAAAATGATCCTGGCACACTTAGCCCAGCAGGTTGGAATATTTCAGGAGCTTCAGGCACTCCCTCCCCCTGGCTGGCAATACTGCACTAAGGTACCTGACCACAATGAGAAGCATGCTGCTCCTTCCTCCCCTCTGGCTCCTGTGCACAGACCTGCAAGACCTGTCATTGTGCTGGGCCAGCTGGAGAGCAATCCCGCCTACAGCAACTACAGCAGCTTAATGCAGAGGCTGCACTTTGTGCATGCAGCTAACTGGCCCTGACAACAGAAGCTGGCACGAGTGCCACTCACCTTTGACACCTGCTATCACTCCAGGCCAGCCAGAGGGCAGCCCCACAGATAATAGCTTAGGGCCTTAATGCAGAGGCTGCCCCCTGTGCATGGCTCACTGACTCTGACAGTGGAGGCAGGCGCTGCAGCTGGGAAGCAGAAAAGAGCTCTGTCCTCCCAGCAGACTCTGGTGTTGCTTGCCTGAAACGTCTGCAATCACTTCAGGCCAGTAGGTGGGCAGCCCTGCCTATGGCAGGTTAGGGGCATAACTCAGAGGCTGCTCCCTCCATGTGGCCCACTGTCCCTGACAGCAGAGGCTGGCACTGTGGACAGGAAGCAGGAAAGAGCTTGCTCTCTAGGGTAAGGAACTGGTACTGATCACCTGCAACCAGTACCATTGCTCCAGGTACTGGGCAGCTCCAAAGAGAAGAGCTTTTGGGCACTAAACGGTGCCACCTACACAAACCTAATATTTCTCATTAGCCAACAGAGTTATGAAAAGGCAGAAGAACCTTGTTCAATCCAAAATCCCTCAAACAGAACAAGGGCTCAGTGAAACTGAAATCACTCATCTTCCTGAAAAAGTATTGAAAATAAAAGCCATAATAAGCATAATGGAGCTACAGAAAAATATTCAAAAACTAAGGGATGAATTCAGGAGGGAGATAGACACCCTGAAAAATACAGTAGCTGAAATGAAACAAAGTGGAGGGATTTAAAAGCAGATTAGATGAGATAGAGGAAACACTAAATGGAACAAATTAGAGAACAGGAATACAAAGAAGCTGAGGCACACAGAGAAAAATGGATCTCTAGGAATGAAAGAATATTGAGAACTGTGTGACCAATTCAGATGGAACAATATTTGCATTATAGGGGTATCAGAAGAAGAAGAGAGAGAAAAAGGGGTAGTAAATGTCTTTGAAAAAATAATAGCCAAAAACTTCCCAAGTCTGGGTAAGGAAATACTCTCTCAGGCCATGGAAGTGTGCAGATACCCCAACAGTAGGGACTTAATGAAGACAACCCCAGGATATATAACTAAAATGGCAAAGATCAAGGATGAGCATATTAAAAGCAGCCAGAGAGAAGAAAAAAGATCACCTAGAATGGAAAACCCATCAGGTTATCATATTTTTCAGCAGAAACCTTATGGGCCAAAAGGGAGTGATTTGATATATATAATGCTTTGAAACAGAAGGGCCTCCACGTAAGAATACACTACCCAGCACGATTATTTAAATTTGAAGGAGGGTTTGAAGGCAGTTCAAAGAAGAAAGTATACAGCAATTCAGGCCCATTTAAAGAAAGAAGAACAATCCCAAATGAACACTAAATTCACAATGTAACTGAAAAAAGAACAAATGAGACCCAAAGTCAGTAGAAGAAGGGACATAATAAAGATTAGAGCAGAAATAAATAAAATTGAGAAGAATAAAAGAGTAAAAGAATCACTGAAAGCAGGAGCTGGATCTTCAAGAAAATAAACAAAACAGATAAACCCCTAGCCAGACTTATCAAGATAAAAAGAGTCTACACACATAAGAATAAAAAATGAGAATGGAAAAATCACTACAGACACCACAGAAATACAAAGAATTATTATAGAATATTATGAAAAATTATATGCTAACAAATTGGATGATCTAGAAGAAATGGACAACTTTCTAGAAAAATACAACCTTCCAATACCCAGGAAGAAACAAAATTGGAAAACACCAATTACCGGGATTGAAATTGAATCACTATTCAAAAAACTACCCAAGAACAAAATGCCTGGACCAGATGTCTTCACCATTGATTTTTATCATTTACAGAAAACCTAATACCCATCCTCAAAGTTTCCCAATAAAGAAGAGGATGGAGTACTTCCAAACTCATTCTATAAAGCCAGCATCACTCTAATACCAAAATCAGGCAAAGATAACAAAAAACAAAATTACCAGTATTCCTGATGAATAAAGATGCAAAAATACTTGACAAAATATTAGGAAACCGAATTCAAAGCTACATCAAAAAGATCAGACATCGTGATCAATTGGCATTTATTCCAGCAAAGCATGGATTGTACAATATTAAAAAATCCATGCATATCACCCACTGCATCAACAGAAAGAAGGACAAAAATCACACTATCATCTCCATAGATGCTGAAAAAGCTTATGACATAATTCACCATCCATTCATGATAAAAAGTCTCAACAAAATGGGTTTAGAGGGCAAGGACTTCAACATAATAAAGGCCATACATGACAAACTTACAGCAGCATCATACTTAACAGTAAAAAACTGGAAACTTTAAAATTGGGAACAAGACAAGAATGCCCACTCTCCCCACTTTTATTCAACGGAGTCCTGGAGGTCCTACCCATGGAAATCAGAAAGCAGAAAGAAATTAAAGGCATCCAGATTTGCAAGGAACAAGGTAAACTGACCCTGTTTGCAACTGACATGATATTGTACATAAAAATCACTAAAGAATATTATGGGGCCATACAGGGAAATGTAAAGTTGATAAGTGAGAGAGAAGCAATATTGTTTGAAAAGGTTAGCTTTTTACTTCTTTGCAGATTGATGCCCTGTGGCTTCTATGCCCAGTAGTTGTCTTGAGGTATCTTTACCACTTGGATGAATTATGATACTCGGTAATTTTCGATATGAGGCACGAATTCTACTAAAGGGTTGTAATTTGGAAGGAAGAAGGAAATCTATAGAAGTAGCAGATGGAAGAAAACATGGTTGAGAATTAGGCTTGGGGTTGATTAATGATTGTGCATTGAGTCCCCTATACAGAATTTTATTGTTAACAACCATTTGATCAATAAATGAGAGATGCCCTCTCAAAAAAAAAAATCACTAAGTAATCTACTACAAAACTACTAGAACTAATATCTGAATTCAGCAAAGTTGCAGGATACAAAATTAATACACAGAAATCTGTTGCATTTCTATATGCTAGTGATGAACTGTCAGAAATCAGGAAAATTATTCCATGTACAATTACATCAAAAAGAATAAAATATCTACCTATAAATAAACCCAACCAAGGAAATGAAAGAACTATACCCTTAAAACTTCAAGACACTCGAGAGAAATTAAAGAAGACACCAATTAATGGAAACTCATTCCTTGCTCTTGGTTAGAAAGAATTAATATTGTCAAAATGGCCATCCTGCCAAAAGCAATCTACAGATTCAATGGCAATCCCTATCAAAATACCAACAGCATTCTTAAATGTACTGCAACAAATAGTTCTAAAATTCATATGGAACTACAAAAGACCTGAATAACCAAAACAATCCTTAGATGGAAAAAGAAAGTGTGGAGATTATGCTCCCCAACTTCAAGCTGTACTACAAAACCACAGTAATCAACATAATTTGGTACTGGCACAAGAACAGGGCCATAGATCAATGGAGTAAAATAGTCAAGATATAAACCCACACATATATGGACAATTAATATATAATAAAGGGACCATGGACATACAATGGGGAAAGGACAGTCTCTTAATCAACTGGTTGTTGGCAATACTGGACAGGTATATGTAAGAGAATGAAACTGGATTACTTTCTAACTCCATATATAAAAGTCAACTCGAAATGGGTCAAAGATGAAGGTAAATCATGAAACTATAAAACTTTTTAAAAAACAGGCAAACTTTTGAATATAAACTTGACTAACTTTTTCATATACATATATCCTTGGGCAAGGGAAACAAAAGCAAAAATGAACAAGTGGTACTACATCAAATTTGAAACGTCTACAAGAAAGGACACCATCAGTAGAACAAAAGCAGCCTGCTGTATGGGAGAATATATTCATAAATAACATCTGGTAAGGGGTTAACATCCAAAATATATAAAGATCTCACACACCTCAACAACTAAAAAGCAAGTAACGTGATTAAACAATAGGCAGAGGATCCGAACAGACACTTCTCCAAAGAAGAAATTCAGGTGGCCAACAGGAACATGAAAAGATGCTCCACGTCACTAATAATAAGGGAAATGTAATTTAAAACCACAATGATATATCACCTCACACCAGTTAGGATGGGAACAAAAGGCCAGGAACAACAAATGCTGGCAAGGATGCAGAGAAAGCGGCATCCTCCTACACTCTTGGTGGTAATATAAATTAGTTCAACCATTGTGGAAATTAATATGCAGGATCCACAAAAAATTGAAAATCCATTTGACCCAGGAATTCCACTCTTAGGAATTTACCTGAAAGAAGCAAGATCCCAGATTCAAAAAGACATATGCACCACTATGTGTATCACCCCACTATTTACAATATATATGTCATGAAAGCAACCTAAGTGTCCATCAGTAGATGAATGGATAAATAATAGGTGGTACATATACACAATGGAATATTATTCAGCCATAAGAAGAAAATAAGTCCTATCATTTGCAACAACATGGATGGAGCTAGAGGATATTAGGCTTAGAGATATAAGCCAGGCAGAGAAAGACAAGTACCAAATTATTTCACTTATCTGTGGAGTATAACAGCAAAGCAAAAACTGAAGGAACATATCAGCAGAGTACTCACAGAACCCAACAATGGTCTAGCAGTTACCGAAGAGAAAGGGGTTGGGGATGGTTGGTGGGAAGGGAGGGATAAGGGAATTTAGGGATATTGTGATTAGCACAGATAATATGGATATGGGGTGACACAAGGAAGGCTGTATAGCACAGAGAAGACAAGTAGTGACCCTGTATCATTTTACTATGCTGGTGAACAGTGGCCATAATGGGGTATGTGGTGGGGACTTGATAGTGGTGGGAGTCTAGCAACCATAATGTTGCTCATGTAAAACGTGAACATAGAATTGTATATCAATGATACCTTTAAAAAAATTGGGAGTGGGGATATTGCATTACAGAACGAAAAAAAACCCCAACTATATCACATACCAACAAATTAGATAACTTAGATGAAATGGAGAAACTCCTACAAACTCACAAATGTCCAAAAGTGATTAAAGTAGAATTAGGAAATCTAAAGAGATTTCTAAAAGTAAAGGGATAGATCGAGTAACCAAAAATGCAAAAACTCAACAGAGGACAGACCTGTCGCAGATGCTTGCTCTAACAAGTTAAGTATTCATATTAATTACTCAAATTCTTTAATAAAATAGAGGGAACACTCATTCCATGCATCTAGCAGTGCCTCCACACTAAAATCAGATAAACCCAAGATGGCGGCGTGAGCAGGGCAGTGGAAATCTCCCAAAAACACATAGAGCTATGAAAATATAACAAAGAAAAATCTTCCTAAAATAGAGACCACATGACACAGGACCACATCCACACCTGCAAGAACCCAGAGCCTTGCAAAGGGGGTAAGATACAAGCTCCGGCCCAGCGGGACCCAAGCGCCCCTCCCCCCGGCTCCAGGCGGGTGTAAAGAAACCGGAGCGGTTTTTTTTTTTTTGGCGAGTGCTTTTTGCAAGCCTTAAAGG